AAAAAAAAAAAAAAAAAAATACCAGATGAGTCAAGTACATGGCATGTGCCTAAAGATTGCCAAATTAATTCCTGAATTTCAGAAATCCAACATGCATGAATCAGTGATAACCCAGTACCAGCATCCTCCTTCAAAACGAACAGCCTCATAACAACAAAAAAAAAAAAAAAAAAAAAAGAAAAGAAAGAAACTTCCAGTGTTTATCCAATATTTCTGTAAGCCTGAAGACATTTTAACCACTTGCAAAATGAAGATTTAAATGCTAAGGCATCACAAGCTTTGGAAGTAACATGCCAACAAATTGAAAACTAAAGGGAGAATTAAATCAGTAAGTTTACCTTAAAATATAAGCTCAAAAGAGCATATCTCTGTCTGAAATCAGAATAGCTAAGATGTTTACCATCCTCCATAATAAGGATCCTTCAGCAGCACTTGTGAACAGTGACAACAGATCCCAAGTCTTTACCTAAAATTCATATTAAATGTTTAGCGGTCCCTGTAGTTTCTCTTGGCAGTGATCAGCATACCAGTAAACCATGGTTATTCTGGGAGATGTTTTTTGAGAAATAAATGAAGTTTAACCCATAAAGAGCCACAGAGGTACAATAAAATTTACTTACTTGGCTTTTCTCATGCTCACTGGCACTACTGTGTGGGAAAAGTGGCAAGACTAAAAAAGGAAAGAAAATATGTAATGGATAGATTTAATTATGAGGCATGCATAAATTCATTTCTAGACATGATCAAAGCATAATATATGCATGTTTTAAACATGTCACAGTAAAATGCATTTATTTATCCAATATACATTAATAATTACAATAAATTCCACTTCTCCCTCTCCTGGTTATACACACCAACATTAACAGCAAGGCCCACTCTGATATCTTGCTCAAGTGCCCACCTTTAAGATGTCTTTCTAACTATTTGACCTTGTCCCTCATCATTCAGCATGAATTCTCTATTCCAAATCTTGCCCCTGAACATCACCTCCTGTTTTATCTTAGTATTCTGACCCAAGAGTGTCTCCCCTTTTCTAAGCTCTTCAAATCTTATTCTTTTCCCAAGGACTTGCTAAAATCCCACCTACATCTTCCTTGAAGATAATCCCAACTCATGCCAAATTCTTCCTGTCTGAACTCCTACTCCATTTACCTACAACTCACATTTAACTAAATGGTAGCTAATCTCATGACATTCTATTTCAGGCACATGCATCTCACCTTTCCAATGTAATTATAACAGGAAAGGAGGGCCCGGGATCATATATTTCTTTGGTTCCCTCTCCCACGTTGAAAAATAAATAGCTGTTACGTGAGGAGTGACCCAAAAGATGACAAGCACCACACTTACTTTTCAGCCTGCTTCTCACTCTCGTCTTTTTTCTGCTGGAGTATGGTTTTAAGGATTTCCTTTTCTGGTTACTAGTCCAAGATTGTTCATTGGTACTAGAACTTGAACCGTGCTCCTCCTCAGAAAAGAGATGCTTCCTATAATCAAACTTTTACAAACAGTTGAGAAATTTTAAATGGGTGCTACTGCTAATGTATGTACAATTAAACATAACTTCATGTATTGTACACTAAACACATTACTATTAGACATAAGAAGCTCCTAGAAGACTGGGCTCTCTTCCATAATAAAAATGCACAGAGAAAGGAAGAGGACAAAGATTATTCCATGAATCAATTTCCAATGAACCTGCTGTGGTCAAAGATGACAAAACTATCTTTGCAGTCCTATTTGCAACTGAACAGTGGCTACATAACTGCTCAAAAGCAGATGTCCCTGAATACTGTGCCAATGCTACAAGTTCAAAGTGCAAACTTAAGTGACAAAACAGAGTATAAAAATATGCTTTGCAAAGACACACTCAGAAGAACTAAAACCAAACAGGATAACTTTTATCTCAAGCTTAAAACATTTTGAAATTAAGTCTAGTCTATAAGAGGTTAGAAACTTACTATAAGATTAATCTGTTCTTGTAGGTAACTCATTTGTATTTTGATATTTATATATTTTAATCTTTTTTAGTTTTTGCATTAATTTTTTATAAATGTGATGAAAAATGTTTAAGCTGGATATAGAGGATTTTTTTCTTATTTTAACAGAAAAGCACACAGAGTTCTGTTGGGTGTTTCCAGGGACTCAGTCCCCAGACATCTGGCTTTTCCAGGGGTTCCACCATTCAGCTCTAACAGTTCTCATTCAGGCCAGGGGGATATTAAGTAGTGAAAATATCGCAGAGACTTCTCAAATGGAAAATACATCAGCCAGAGGATTTACCCGCATCTGAAGTGGCCAAAAGCCAAGTCAGCTCTGAGGCCACTAGGGTAACCCTGAGCCACACTTGCCCTTGCTGGTGATATCATTTCACATAACATGTGAGGTGGGCGATGATTTGTTATCTTTTAAATGACCCAATTAACTCCTCTTTTAAAATGCTTAGTTGCTCTTTAGCATTTCATAGTAATCATTTTTAAATGACAAACCTTATATATATTTATGGTGTACAACATGATGTACTGATATATGTATACATTGTGGAATAGTTAAATCAATCAAACATACATATTTACCTCATCTATTTGTGGAGAAAGCACCTCCAATCGACCCTCCTCATAGCAATTTTCAAGTATTTATTTATATTGTTATTAAGTACAATCATTGCAACATACAATAGATCTTTCAAATTTCTTCCTGTCTACATTTTGTTACCTTTGCTCAACGTCACCCCAAATCCCAACCCCAAACTCCTGGTAAACACTTCCGACGAGTTCGACTTTTTCAAATTCCACATGAGTGAGATCATGCATGTCCGTGCCTGGCTTATTTCACTTGACATGGTGTCCTCCATCTTCATCCATGTAGTCACGAAAGCCAGGATCTCCTCCTTTGGTGAGACTGAGTAGGATTCACTTGTGCATATGTATCACGCTCTCCTTACCATTTATCCATTTATATTGATTAGAAAAAGTGACTTCTAAAAGGAACTTTGTGAGCCACGTTTATTTACATCTTACCTTTTACTTAAGGAGATAACCAAAATGGCTGGGGAGCCCCACAATTGGTTTTCTTTGGGGGTTTTTTTGGTACCAGGGATCAAACTCGGGTCCTTGCGTTTGGGCAGCAGGTGGCGAAACCACTGAACTCAATCCCCAGCCCCCCACAACTGTTCCAGAGTTCAGCCCAGAGACTCACAAAGAGCAAGCATCGCTTCATTGAATGCATCCAATTTAAAAACCACGCGGCAGGGCCTTCCCAGTTTCTTTGGCTTTACGTCAAAAGATACTCACAGTTATTTACAAAAATAAGAGTACCTCGAGCAACAGTCCTCATGTAGAGCCACACAACGGAATCACCAGAAAGGGGCTTTACTTTTTAAAATTCCAAAGTGTGAGAATAAAAGTCTGAATCTCAGAAGGAACCCAAATTTCAGTATTTTCTGAAGACCAATTTGAGGCCCAAGCAGCAGAGCATCAGAACCTTTGCTAGAAGAAAGCTTTCTAAGGCCTTATCCCATTTGTGTGAAACACATGCTCTCAATTTTAGAAAAACTTGTCATAGAATGATCATTGGAGATGTTTTTAATATGCTGACTACAGACGTAGAGCACTGTGCTTTCCAAAGCGAAAGGCCAGCAAGCAGTGACACATGGGACAGATGTCATTCGACTTATACACAAAACCATGTCACTGAACTAAAAGGATGCAACATCCTTTACAACTACTTAACAGATCTGATCTAGTTAGGACAAGTCTTAGGTGCTTCTTCCCTACTTACTAATATTTTTCTTACAACAAAGCAAGAACAGGGTTAGGTTCAAATCGTAATCAAAAAAGAATTTTAAGGAGGGGAACACCAAGTCTCCCTTTCGGATAGAGCTCTTTGTGAGTTTAAGTGTCAGCTACCATGCAATGTCCCTCCTCACCCAGGGCTACCACTCTGGAACTCAATCAGGGAGGGGACCCAACATCCATCACCTAAAGTGGGTGGACAATCCAAAAAGGGAGAGCTTGCTACAGTGGGAAGGGACTGAGTGGAGGAGTCCATCTTCAAATTTTCCATTATCTGTTTGCCCACAAATAGGATTTAACACAAAATGTTTCCCTTCTGCCGAGTTTACTTCTTATCTGTTCAACTAATGAGTAAGCCTGGCTATGACAGATTTGCCTTTTCAGAGTTAATGGTTAATAAAACCTGCTGCACAAAATGGATTTAAAAGTAGAAAATATATCATATAAAAGTGTAGTTCGAAAGGGAATGGGGAAAAAATAAGAACCAAGATCCATCCTGTAAAGGTACAAATTCCCACTGATGATTGTAACTGTATTGTATACCTAAAATGTACCAATAAACTTAACGAAAAAAAGTGTAGTTCAATAGGTTAACATTGTTATTTTCCATTGTTATTCATTTGAGGGATTTGCCTATTTGCTAGAAATAATACTGATTTTCCATCTGAAATTGAAATAATTCCTCTTAAGAAAAAATTAGATAAACAGTAGTGCCATGCACATTTTGAAGGCAGTGTGAAATAACTGAAATTTGGGAAGTATCACCTTAAATAACAAAAATTATTACCGGCGTCCTTTTTTTCTTTGTGTCCGATATCCCTCTTTCTTGCTTTGTATCATCCTCAAAAGCAGAACCTTCCCTAAAACAAAATGCATCACATGAAGAGAGCTGGTACATTCACCACCCTCCTCTCTAGCACCTCATGGCTCTTTTCCCCTCTTAGGTGCTCTTTGCCTGATCATGAACCAAGTTCACAGACTTCCCCACTCTGCAGACTGACTTATCTTACAGTCTATTTCCATAGCTTCTCGGGCAAATGATGGCGGCTTATTTAAAGTCAAACAAAGTTTTGTTGAACTCTTTGTTTGCCAGACCCACAAAGAGACGAGAAGCAGGTGGGACCCTAAGTGCCAGCCCATCGGCAGCAAGGCTGGAAGGTGGCAGTCCTGGTCCTACCCAGGAACCACCGAGGTGCTTCCACTGGTGGCCAGTGAGGCTGAGCATCTTTCCATACATCTGTTAGCCTTTCATGTGTCTTCTTCAAAAAACTGTCCATTTGGGTCCTTTCCCTAGTTTTTAATTGAGTCATTTGGTTTTCTGCCATTGAGCTGTGAGTTATTTACATTCTTTTAATATTAACCTCATATATATATATATATATATATATATACATATACATACACACACACACATACAAGCACACACACACACACACATATATATGGTTTGCTATTGTTTTTTAAAAAGATGAATGTTGGGAGTGGACATGGAGCAACTGGAGCCTCTTGTATGCTGCTGGTGGGACTGAAAGTTATGGAAAACAACTTTCAAATACCTCAAAACAGTATAGAACTATTACAGGATGCAGGAGTCCCACTTCTGGACATGCATCCTAAGGAACTGAAACCAAGATGTCAATACAGATTGAGTATCCCTAACCTGGAAACCCTCAATGCCCCCAAGTCCAAAGCTTCCTGAGCATCAACACCACCCTCCTGTGGTGGGATGGCCAAAAGGCAGGTGCTAAGAAATAGAGAATTGTAATAAAAGTTACCTGTAGGCTGTGTAAGAGATACACTGTGAAGTAAAAATGAGTTTTTGTGTTTCAACTTAATCCATCCCCAAGATACCTCACCATGTATATGCAGCTGTTCCAAGTCTGAAAACAACCCAAAATCTGACACATCCTGACGTCGGGCATTTTGGACAAGAGATAATCTGTACAAGATAAGAGCTGTTTCTGGTTTGGAGCTATTACAAACAAAGCTGCTATAAACATGCATTAGCACTCCTTTGTGGGGACATGTGCTGACCAATCTCTTGGGAAAATGTCTAGGATGAATAGCTAGATCATAGGCTGGGTATGTACTAAGCATTTTAAGAAACGACCAGCAGCATGTAAGTTTTGCTTGCTCCACACTCTCACAAGGACATGGTACAGTCTAATTTTGCTGCTCTAAAACATGTAGAGTACATCTCTATTCTTCATTTTCATTTCCCTAATAACTAATGGTGTCATCTGCTATGTTTTTTTCCTGGTGAAGTAGCTGTTCAAATCTATTGCATATATTTTTATCAAGTTGTACATTTACTATTCACTTCTGAGAGTTCTTGATACATTTCACATACAAGTCCTTTATAAATATTTTCAGCAAGGCTGTGGCTAGTTCTCACCTAACAGTGGTTTACAAAGAGTATAGATTCTTTTATTTTGATGAAATCCAATTCATCAATTTGTTCTTTTGTGGACTCTTGTGTTACACAACTAAGAAATCTTTGCCTAATGCAAAGATTTTTGTCACTTTTTTAAAAAATAGAGTTTATAGTTTATGGGAAATGTAAGGATGCAAGGTCATTTTTTCTTCTATCAAGATATTCCATTTTTCTAGCACTATTTATTGACAAATCTGTCTCTTCATTGAATTATCTTTGCACTTTTATCCAATATATATAGGCCTTTTTCTGGACTTTATTATGTTTTATTTATCTTTCTGCTAATACCACACTCTTGATGTAGTTTTATAGCAATCTTGAAAACAGGTAATATGTAAACACTTTAACTTCATGAAGTTTTAGATATCCTTGGTCCTTTAAATTTCCATATGAAATTCAGAAAGAGCTTGTAGATTTCTTTTACATTTTATTTGAGTTTTTTTGTTTTTTGGTCCTGGGGATCGAACTTGGGGTCCTTGTGCTTGCAGGGCAGGCAGCGGAACCACTGAGCTGGCCCTTCTTTTACATTTAAAAAAAAAATCTACTGGGATTTGAACTGGGAATTTTATTAAATTCTTAGATCAATTTTGAAAAGAACTGACATCATATCAAGTCTTCCATCAGAATTTGTTTTTTGGTTGTTTTTTTTTTTAGATCTTCTTTAATTTCTCTTACCAATGTCCTATAGTTTTCAGTGTATATGTTTTGGGGATGCTTAGAAATATATGTGAACTGCCTAAATGAATGATACCTTAACACTATTGTAAATGGCATTGGTTTTTATTTCAATTTCTGATTAGCACAAAGAAAATTGATTTTGTATATTGATCTTGGGTCCTTCAATCTCAAATTCAACGTTTTGCTGCAGAAAACTACATTGGTGAAAATAACCCTGGAAGTCTAATGGTACAGTCCATGGGTCAGGAGAACGTGCCAACATCACTCAAACATTCTGCAGAAAACTCCACACAATGCTCTCTCCTTCAGTGGAGGAATGGCCAGGTGCAAGAAAAGGGGGAAACGTAGAGCTTGGACTTGTAGCACTCACATCAGCAAAATGGGTAGTTACTAATTTCAAAAGAACCAAGGCCATGGAAACACCCTAAATGTCCATCAAGACATGAAAATAAGACAGTGTTGTATAGATATACAGTAGGATACTATTTGGCCACAAGAAGATGAAAGAAATCCTATCACTTTCAACAACAGGAACTGGAAGATATTCTGCTAAGTGAAACAAAACAGGTATGAAAGACAATACTGTACAATTTCACTTATATGTGGGAACCAAAAAAGTCAGACTCAGAAAGGGAGCGACGAATCAGGTTACCAGAGGCTGGGGCTGTCCAGCAGGAGGAGGGTGACAGAGAGATATTGGTCGATGAAGACCAATTTACAATTAGACATGAGGAGTAAGTTCTCGAGTTCTGTAGCACAGAAGTGTGAGTACAGTTATCAATATTGTCGTCTATATTTCAAAACTAGGAAAGAGGATTCTGAGTGTTCTTGCAACACAAATTAATGTTTAAAATAGATATGCTAAATTCCACAATGGATCATTTCACAATGGATCCATCACATTATACTCCATAAATAGACAATTTTTATGTGTCAATCAAAGACAAAATTAAACTTTAAAAAGAAAAAAGCACCTTACCTGGATTTGTCATCTAATTTAGGAGCCTGGATTTGGACCGATGGGTCTTGTACAATTGAAGAATGCTCATGCTTTGAAGTAACTTCTAAAGACCAAATTTAAAAACAAAAAGCATTAAACATCTTGAGTAAATATTTTCACTACTAGCGTCTTTTTTACAGTAGACAAAACATATCGGACCTTGAGTATCACCCATTTTCAATTTTTCAGATGAACTATCAGCTGTACTTCTTTGCTGTAAGAAAAAACCACATTGTAGTTTCCATATAGACAGACAAAGCTATATCTTGTTTTTTGGGGGGTGAGGGTTTTGTTTTTTTGGTACCGGGGATCGAACTCAAGTCCTTGCGCTTGCGCAGCAGGCAGCGAAACCACTGAGCTAAATCCCCAGCCCACAAAGCTATATCTTTATACAAACCTATGTGCCAAGTAGGTTTGTGTACATTTTTAAAAGCTTTTAATTGACGTATAAAAATTGTGCATAGTAACGTCATCCCATGCATATAATATGAAGTATTTAAATCTGGTGAAGTGTACCTGTTTTGACATTTAACATTTATGGTAAAAACATTCCAAATCTTTTCTTCGAGCTTTCTGAGATGTACACAGTTGTCTACAATCCTCCTACTCTGAATATCACACCAGAATTCTCGCTCCTGTCTAGCAGTAACTTAGTACCCTTTTTTAAATCCCATGAAGGACCACTTGTGATCTCGCCATTACCCCCATATTATGATATGAAGCCCCCAGAGTAGTGATATTAATTAATGCCAAACATCAGGTCCTTTCTAGACAGCAGTCTTCAGATCCAAATGAGCGAATGAGAAGGCGGAAGCCAACCAAGTCAGGCACTTCATGGGAAGTCAAGCTGAATAAGGGGAGAATATGTAAACTCAGATATTATTGACAGAGGCTGGGCCAGGAGCACAGGGTCTACAAGTCAGGATGGAAGCCGCCTGCCTGACAGTTGCCAACCTCCTTCCCAGCTCAATGTACTCACGGGAGGCCCCGCCTGGGAATCAGAGAGGAGAGTTATCACACAACGGTCCCCCCCGGCACTCATGGACTCTGCTGCTTCAGTGGATTCTTCTGCCTGTTCTATATAGACGAAGAAAAGAACATTTGTAACAACATTAGCCATGCACAATACTGACATTCTCCATTGCTTGTTACAGGACATTTGCCTCATACCTCGCCATCTTCAGGTTAAGAGCAGGGAGTCAGGTTCTGCCTCAAACCTCAAATAAGACATCCAAGGGCAGTTGGGAAGAAACTCCAAAGAGACTGGCTTTCTATGTAGACAGGACCTCCCTGCCCCTCCTTCTGTCACCCCCAGCATTTGATATCCTTTGCCATTTCCAACTGACCCCAAAGCGAGACTTTATTATGTGGGGAAAATGACCCAAAACTATTGGGGCTGGGGATTTAGCTCAGTGGTTCCATCACCTGCCTCACAAGCAGAAGGACCCGAGTTCAATCCCTGGTACCAAAAAAAACCTATTAACAGCTATTGCTTCATACTCTTACTGGTTTTGTGGTGTTGCGGTTGATCCTCGAGCCTTACACATGCTCATCGAGGGCCCTCTCCCTGAGCTACACCCCAGCCCTACTTATTGCTCTCATAACCACTGAATTCTGAAACCAGCAAGGTTTCATCAGTGCTTTTATGGAAAATTCATAGTCAAGAGCTTTTTGTTTTTTGTTTTTGGGGTTTTTTTGGTACCAGGGATTGAACTCAGGACCTTGTGCCTGCGAGGCAGGCAGCAGAACCACTGAGCTAAATCCCCGGCCCAGAGTCAATTAATTGTTAATTCCCAATGTACCTGTTTGTCTTTCCAGGCTGCTAGGAATCTCACTGTCTTCTTTCTCAGACTTTTTAAAGTGTTCCGAGGACATTTTCATTTGATCAGGCAACACCTGAAATGCAAGCCAAAAGCCACATGAATTTAAAAAGCAGTAGCTAGCATTTGATTGCCCTTTCTTGAAGGATTATTTTCTTTTCTGTCTCCCTTACCTCCCTCAGCCCTCAGCACCAACTCTGGCTATTACCCTGCCCTTAACTCCTCTCTCCTGGTGTCTTCACATCTGCCATGGTTTGAGCCCCCAAATTTCATGCGTTAGAGACATGAGCCCCAATATAGCGTGCTGAAAGGTGGGACCTGTGGAGGTTCCGTCAGGAGACCTCCTGCCTGAAGGGATTCATCCTCTCCTGGATGAATGGGCTGCTTTGCTTCTCCTTTCATTTCCCTTCCTCACCCATGAAATGGGTGAGTCTTCAGAAACTCAGAGTACTTTATAAAAATGCCTTCGTATTCAACTCAAATGAAAAAGATGCAAGCTCAAGACTTCCCCCCATGGGTCTCTGACCTTTTTATTCAACTTATCAGCTACTGCCACAGTATTTGGTGTCCTTAATTTCTTTGCCTGGCCTACTGTCCATGACAGAAGGGCTCCTGTTCTTGTATATAAACAGGGCAGTTAGAGATATGGACACAACAGCAATCTGTAATAGGTGCAGACCACTTCCACAAGCTAAGACCAGTAGAGAGGATTTTGGAAAAGCCCTGTGAAATCCTATTCTTCATGACCAGGGCCATTGTCCAGGGCCATGAGGAGCTGGGAGCATGGGAACTGCCAAGAAACCCAGGTAACAGCTTCTGGCTTCCAGGAAGAATATGGTGAGGAGGTGATGTTATCCTAGAAAAGCTTCCAACTGTTCACAGTAAGTGGAACAAAGCTCTCGGAAGCATAGTGAGGCTTTGTGTCCCACAGAGTTAAGGCGGTAACACATGGAAAGGGAAAACTAGGTTAAGAGCCCAGAACTCAACTCTGTTTACATGCATTTTAAAGATCAGGTCTTTTCCTTGACCAAATGTTCACACCAAAACCCAACAAGGAAATTTAAGAGGCATGAAGCACACTACAATATTTTCAAATAATCAATAAGAATGAAGTTGCCACCTGTTTGTCTTCTCCTAAAGCTTGAACGGAAGCTTGGGATATGTGGACTTGCAAATCAAAATGGATCTCTATTTTCATCACTTCTTTCTTACTGATAACAATAGGCTCCTTCAGGTAAATGATGAATATCTTCGCCTTCTCATTTTCTAACAAAAATACAGTATATCATGAATATCAACATACTGAAAAGTTTCATTTAAATTTTTATATTTTTAAAAAACTGTACCTGTAGATCTGTCAACTTCCCAGACTTTGATAAGTTGAAATTTCATTAAATAAAATTACTCTGAAATTACTCTATAAGAGGCACATATGTATATATTTATGTACACAATATATGATTAGGTGGTTGAACTTTCAACAATAGGAACTAGTTTTCTTTACTGGCAAAGAAATGGAGATATGTTTGTCTTCAGCAATTCAATGTTTAACTGCATTATGTTTACACAACGGGTATTTTACTTCCAAACATACTGGGCACAATGTTTATTCTTTTCTCTTGGGAATTTACTTATTGCTAAAGTTCAGTATGCTAAATGGAATATCCACCTCCATTTCAACAGACTCCTCCAAGAGGACATGGAGACATTATGGTGAAACATCCTCTGAGACAAAGCTTGCTTTGGGGCCTCCTACCAGGTTGTCCCTGAAAAATGGTAATTACTTTTAAAAGAAAAAGTAGCTTGGACTGAAATTCAGAGTTCAAGAATAAACCACAGTGCATACAAAGTTGGCTGAAAGCAGCAAGGGATAGAAGGGAGTAAGGTTTGTGGAAAAACTGGCAAAGTTAATGGCCACAAATCAATGCAAATGGAAAGAAGAAAATGAGACACACACAGGTCTGGACCACACTGTCCAAGACAGCAGAGAGCTTGCAATAAACAGACTCTGTAAGTACAACATTCACATTAGACCGTCACATCCTAGAATACAAGGAGAACATACATCTCAACTTTCATACTGACTTATGCTAATATCTCATATGTTGAGTAAAACAAAACCATTACTGAAATGAATCCAATTTTTAATTTGACTATTAGAAATTTTCATTTATAGGGCCAGGGATTTAGCTCAGTGGTTCTGCCACCTGCCTCGCAAGCGCAAGGGCCCAAGTTCGATCCCGGGTACAAAAAAAAAAAAAAAAAGAAAAGAAATTTTCATTTATAAATACAATATTCACATTTTATTTCTTTGAAACAATAGAAATAGAATGGCCTAGTAAAGCTCAGCGGTCTTTCCAAATACAGACCTTTGCTCAATGCTACAGAAAAAGTCTATGAGTACCTGCTACCACCTACCAGATGGAAGGAAGTTTGGAGGTTTAAGGGGAGAGGGGACCCAGACCCATGGAAACTCACCCATCACCCCTGCAACTCTGTGGGAGAGGGCAGACATGCACAACCACTTTTTAAATTGTGCCCCCTCCAAAGCCCTATGTAAAATTTACCTTTGTAACTATTGTTTTTTAAATTTAACTGATGCATGAAAGCATAAGTGTTAAGTATGTTCACATCACTGCACAACAGACCTCCAGAATTTGTTCAGCTCACAAAAAGAAAACTGTGCCCACTGAATAACAACTCCCCGTGTCTCCCCTCCCACAGGCCCTGACAACCACCGTTCATTCCACTTTCTGGCGCCGTGCTGTGGACAACTGTGGACACCTCACGCGTGGAATCACAGTGTGTCTTTTGGGGCATAATAATCTCAAGGTTCATCCAGTTTGTAGTGTAGGTCAGAATTTCCTTCTGTTTTCAAGTTGAATATACATATCTCTCATATGTGTGTGTGTGTGTGTGTGTATTCATACCTGTATGATACGTATATATGATATAGAAAACCAAAAAGTTATACACACTTCAGGAAAAGGAAAACAGTATGATGTTTTTTCAACAGATGATATCACCCTCCTATGAGGGACCCTAGATGATGTCGCTTATCACAGAAAACTCAGTGCACGGGTGGTCCTTAGAGAAGAAATTGAAAACTATGTGCAGAATCTCAATGACCAAGGATACCCAAGCAGCAGTTCTCCATACTAACAAATGTCAGGAAGCCAGTGGCCACCACTTTGAGCAGCTCTTGTAATTGTAGAGACAAAGGTAACTTTGTCTCTCATGATGTCTCAAGAAATTTAGTATTAAAATATTTATACAAGTTTTTCTTTTCCTGAAGTAGGTATACATTTTTGGTAGAAAAATGTATATATATCTCATTTTTACTTATCCATTCATTCCTCAGTGAACATTTGAATGATTTCTACCTTTTAGTTATTCTGAGTAATGTTGCTATCAACACAGTTTACAGAGATTTCTTTCAGACTCTCTTTTCAATTCTTTTGCATGCATACTTAGAGGTGGAATTGCTGAATTATATGGCAGTTCTGCCTTTTTCTTTTTCTAATAGCAGTACTAGAGCCTGAACCCAGAGCCTTCACACTGAGCAACATCCCCAGCCCTTTTAAATTTTTTATTTTGAAGCAGGGTCTCATCAAGTTACCCAGGCTCGGCTTGAAGTTCAGATCCTCCTGCCTTGGCCTACCATAGTGCTAGAATTATAGGCATGCACCAATACACCAGACTGGCTTTTAATTATTTGAAGTCTTTAACCATGTTTACAATAAAGGAACCAGGAAAGTGACTGAATCCCAAAGTCATAAAGCAAGTAGCCGCCAACACTGTGACCCCAGATCTTGGTCCTATGCACCATGTGTCTTCCTTCCACTCTCCTGCCAGACTTCCTTGTAGCAAAGCAAGACGAAATCTGCCCTGGAATTAACACACACAGCACACACAAACAATACTCAGAACTAAGTATTGGGTACCACAATGTAAAATTATCATCTTACCTGTAATGCCGAAGTTAACCACGGCTTCCTTCGCAACTCTGATTGGTTCCCACAGAGCACTCTTCGGAAGGTAGCAAGTGAAATCCATGAGTACATCACACATATTTACAAATATACGCTCTGTAAGTGCTTAGATCTAGTCAGAATCAACCCTCCTTCATTACCTCAGCATTGTCTATGTAAAAAGTCACACTCTGGCTTCCTAGGTTGAAATCAATCCAAAACTTCTCTAATTTTTCATCTGCTGGTTTTCTCATCTGAAAGAGAATTTCAGTATGAATTATACATTAAAAAATCACATCAAAGGGTCAGATAAAAATTATTCCAAAAGAACAAGATTTTTGCTTTTCCTGGAATAGCATTATCCTAACAAAGGGCCTTCTCCGTGAGGTCACTCACTCGTGCGAAACAGAAGGATGGTGTTCATTTTACAGGACCAAGCCATTGCCAATAAAACCCTGCTGTCCTTGGCATATTTTATAGATAACTTAAGTGGGTCAGATGACTATACATACATTTGTTTTCTGGTAAGAATCAAAAAGCAAATTGTTCTCTATTGAAAACTCCAGACTGCATATGGATGGAAATGTCTAGAAAAGGAGGTATTGGGATCAAATACGAACAGTGACTTGTCATCTAAGTTACCATCCATTGCAGGAGAGCTAAGACTTCCAGAGTTAAAATTACTTTTATTTTAATTGATTATAAAATGTGTTTATAGTAAAAGAAGAGTCAAACGGTATGATGTTTATAGAAATGTAAACATCTCTGCCTTGCCTACATTACAAATAATGTATTTTTCCAAAGACACCATGAACAATGTCTTTGTCCCCCCACTCTCTGAGGTTTTCTGGACAAATATCAGAGGTATAGTTGAGTATTCCTTATTGAAAGTGATTGGTACCAGAAGTGCATCAGGTTTTGAATTTTTCAGGTTTTGGAACATTTGTATATATATCATGAGGTACCTTGGGGATGGGACTTAAGTCTAAACATAAAATTAATGTTTCCTAGACACCTTTATATATAATTTGAAGGTGTTTCAGATTTTTTGGACATGGGATGCTTAACCTATAAAATTTGTATTCCCCATCAATGGAGCAAGCACCAGGTTTACTACTCTACAACTCTTCTGTAAACAACCTTGCTTGGACATCTTTCCTTTTCATCATTCATACCTGCTTTTTAATAGCTACAGAGTTGAATGATCTTAACCACAATGTGTGCCACTAGAAGCTGGTGTGAGGGATAAATGTAAGGGCCCTGATGGAAGCTGAAGAGAATTGGGGCATCCTAGAAGGAAGAACCCAGCAGAAAACCAAGGAAAAATCAGATGGAGTTGAGACAGAAGGATTAGTTTGCCAAAACCGGTTCTAGAGAGAAAGGTCTTTTAGTGTAGCCCCATGTTGAAAGTTTAGCTTACAGAGGTTAACACGGGGACTCTGAACCCCAAACCAAGAAACGGCTAAACATGCAATGGATGTCTTGAAGACAGGGCTCAGGAAAACGTGGCCAATGTCTGAGACCTCTGCCAACTTTACCCTGAAACTGAGATGCTCTGGGTAGCAGACTTTTGACATGAAGGGTGTTCCTCATCTAGAAACCAAAGAAGGGAGTGAAAATGAACTCGTCAAGCTGGACTACAAGCACAAGGTAGGATGCAAGAAAGTATAGACTTTTCTACTAGGAAGCACTGTGCTAAAGGTACTCTGTCTGTGCGGGCAGCTTGTGCTGATACACCTTACATTACATTATCCAAAGTGGAGAGAAAGGGAAATGTCCCCAAGTGCAGGAAAAGAGAGGGAATCATCAAAAGCATGAAGTCACCCTTCTCCCTCAAAGGATAAATAACGTTACCCATGACTAAGATAAAACAAGGCAAGATTTCTGTAGTTGACCATGTGTCCTGCACAGAGCCTCAAATTTCTTTTTCCAGAAGTAAATTTGAGTCTTTAAACTGGCAGTGCATCCTGGTTATGGTACAATTAATTTGAGAGTTGAAATCACTAGAAGCTAGCAGCTTCTTTTTTTTTTTTTTTTTTGGTACCGGGGATCGAATTCGGGACCTGGCACTTGCAAGGCAGGCGCTGGAACCACTGAGCTACATCCCCAGCCCAGCAGCCTCTTTTTGAAGAACCTTTCATGTAACAAGAACAGAAGTCTCACCCAGCCATGTACACCTGTGTGAGTTTCACCGCACACCACCCTCGCAACCCCCAATACAAACATACCTCATGCCCATCAGCAAAAGCAGCAACACATGCAAATGAATAGACCCTGCAAAACACTTCACATTTAAAACATATTATAGAAAAGGGCCCAAAATACAACCTGCAGATGTTCTGCAACAAGTATTTAACCAGGGTGCACCAGTAAGTCTGATGTGGAGTATGGTAGGGGGCTTCAAGCTTGCAAGTGAAGATTATTAACTGTGGGCAAATTTTAAATCTCCAATTTGCCATCCATAAGCCAAGCTTACTGATATCTCAACCAAATTACTTGACGAGATTCCTAAGGAATAAACTTAGCAAACACTGTCTCATCAAGGACATAACTCTCCATAAGTCCATAATGTGCATATCCCCAGTGACCCCAAGTCTGTACGGAATTGCTCTCTGTAAAGTCTCTGGACCCTCTAAAGGATGTAGGATGACAGGTAGCCCAAACTTCAAGTAAATATGCTCATAACAATTCGGGATAATTTGTAAGCACACTCAAATGACCCATAAGGCAGAGAGGGCCTGATCTTCCCATGTTTCTAATCAGTGAACCATTTAGTCATACTCAGTAAAAGATGGATCTTATATTCTTTCCTAAAAGGAAACAGATCCTAAACCTTCTTTGATGAATGTGATCATTATATATATTTAAATTGTACCAATAAAATTAATAAATAAAAGAAAATATTAGGCATTTCCAGAATATTCCTAGTGTATAAAATAATGGCCAGACAGACCTCTTACCTTCTCTGGTCACCAAGTCTGTCATTTAGGTGATTGAGAAATCTTCGACCGTCCTTCAAAATAATGCAAACTTTTTATTAAAAAAAATGAAATCAAAGTGTCTGATTTAATACTGCCTTTAATAGTACGTAGAGGTCAACGTTTGCTTCTACTTGTCCAAGATCCAGCATCACCACCGGGCTTTGCAAAGACTCGTTACTTTATGTTAATAGTATCTTAAGCTACAAAGCAAAGGCTCCAGGCACACGTTTCTGGAAGGAACCACCCCCAACTCCAGCATTAGCTTTTCATCTGAAGAATACTTAGGTCCACAAAAGTTATATGCATGACTGTTTGACTGGGTCCGAAAAATAAGCAAGAGAAAGACACCTGCTGACCTAGACCACACTACGGACTCAGCCATCAGGCATCCTCCTCCCTCACACTGTGCAGCATAAGCTAACCACTGACCCATAAAATGTGGCACATGGGGTGGGATCTGATGGATTTCCCACTGCCAGTTTTCCTGTTTTGGGAGTTCTCCATGCCCCTCTCTCTTGGCATAAGCTCTAAGAACAAAATTTACTGTTAGAGTTCTCCCAACCAACATCCTTCAGGATGGTGAAGTTGTTGTCACCAACATTCAAAAGACGAAGGCACCCAGGTGCAGGCATTTGCTCCTTTTTGTTTGCAAGGCGTGGCTGTTGGGGCCAAATGCTCCTCAAACTTCATGTCTCAACTTAACACTCAGCAGACATCAGCAGTGTAAGCCTTTTGTCTAAAAGCCATTCAATTAACAACTTGATGGCTCTGGGGGGAAATGATTTTGGAAACAAGGTAATTCTCACCAAAATTCCTTGCAGATGTGAGAATGACACAGAGGAGAGGGGAAACATATCTCAGTGCTCGCACATCCCAGGCTCTTTTGGTTTCTCTTATTCTCATAATTTTATTCCCCTTTTACAGATGGGACACTTGGGCTTCACAAATCAACTACTCTGCCAAAATACATTTAAGTCAGGGGGCTGGGACTCAAACTCAAGTCTGAGAGAGCCCCAGAGCTCATGCTTTTCCATGAAGTAGATCTGGCTAAATACTATTTTGTAGCAGTATCTCAGTCTGAGACAAATATAAAGGTTCAAATTTAATAAAAACTGAATCACTGGTCAGTTTGATCAGAAAGTCTTTGTCAACATGAGCACTACTAGAAATTTTGCCTTTTCCTTTAAGAACTCTTCAAAAGAAAATATTTTAGCTATTCTAGGATGGAGACAGACACAACAAAGCCATAGCTCTTTTTGCTCTACCTGGGGACACAATTGTAGTAAGCCTGGTGGCACGAAAGACAGTGGAAAGTATCATTCTCTAAAGTGTATTGTGGCTCACAACACAACCACCCCACAATACTGAGGCCACTGGAGCACATCATGCCCCTGTTAGCACCTGTCATCATCACAGCTGCTCTCTGCAAGGCTCAAAAACTCTTCTCCAATTCCTTCTCTACTCTTCAAGATCCATCAAAAATTGTTCCACCCCATACACTTTTTTAAATGAATCCATCAAAGTCAAATTTGGTCTCCAGTCTCAGTTATCTCTAAAGAAATCTATATTCTCCTACTCAGCCCCCAAGTATTCTATTGATGTTGCCTTAAAATGGTTTCCCTTTTATGGGAAACAGGAAGTCAATTTAATCACATTAAGAAAAGAAAATCCTTAGATCTTTAATCCACCTCGATCTTAGTTTAGTGTGGGGTGATAGGTATGGGTCTAGTTTTAATCTCTGACAAGTTGAAATCCAGTTTTTCCAACACACTATTATTAAATAGGCTATCTTTCCTCCAATGAGGGTGGTTGGCTCCTTTGTCAAAGATGAGGTGGCTGAGTATG